AAAATTTTGTTGGTCGGTACAAACAAGCTAACAAATAACAAATGCAAACTAAACGTAAACACAAGAACAAATAAACGAATCTGTAGACATACTGCAATGGTCGGTCCGTCAAACTTAGTCAATGACACGGGCGGCGTCATGTGCGATAAGATGTACATCAAACAAAACCGGGTGATGTAAAAAAAGGTATTAAGATCTGTACCTGAATATCTAACACATGTTTAGCTTCCCTGAAGAGAAATATGTACAGCAACATTGGTTTAGACGCATGAGTGTTACACGGCAGGACCATGTAAAGAATGACTACCTTTTCGGGCACAGATTACTTCAGTAGATGTGGGGATCAAGAGAAAAGGTAGGTCCTTTAGATAACTGCTTGAAAATCATTTAGTACAATCCCCAACTTCTTATGCAAGAACCGACACATGGTAAATTTCAACCAGGATAGAAATACTTAATGTGATGTACGTACTTAATGTTACTTTGATGTAGTAACTGGTACTTTGACAATGTTGAAACACTGCGAGTACAACATCACCAATCAGAGAACTGATGCTTAAACAAACACCTCTAGGTTCGAAGAAAAACGAAAAGGAGAAAAACTGCAAGCTTTAGTAACGAGAGAAGATAACAACGTACCCTACCCAATTCTGCGAACATCTAAACAATGTAGTCAGATGACGACCATTTGATAAACAAGAAAACGACTTCAATTTTGTTATTCGAATCTTTGGGAGCATACGGTGATTTCAGCAATAATACAGGTTCCAGAGTCCTAACGAGAAGAAAATAACATAAACAGACAGGCTAGAAAATACTGTTAGAACATCAATCTTCCAAATTGGGGATCATGCCCTAACTGCAATGAATATGGCGCGTAAACGAGAGGCTTTTTTTCACGAGTAATAACTTCTGTTTGATTTACGGTTATAAATTTTGATTACCTGGTCGAAGGCCCATCGCAATTACAAGGTGCCCGTCTCCAGCGTACGATGAGCCTGGCATCACCGCGTCTGAACATTATGCTAACCTTACGGACTGCAAGTGAAAGATCTGCTGTCCGTTTCTGGACTGGTTACACCGAAACACGGTGGCCATAATTCTTTGCTCCTGGCAATTAATTGTCATCAAAGCAAATTTTATGCCGCGGTTAATGTTTGAATGCGACATCTTCAGAAGGCAAGAAAAACAATGAATCCTGAGAATCACTGAACCGCAGAGGGATAAATGAGGACGTAACTTCGGCGAAATTCGAACTAGCGATCATTTGACTACCTAACTACTTTAGACCTGAGGGCGAGGGGGACAAGTGATTGCAGAACGAGGAGGTGACATTAATAAAACGAAGAAGATGTGTCAGATCATGGATGAATAGATAAACA